TATGATACCACCAGACAGCATGAAATCTTCTTTGTCATAAGACAGGTTCAGATCTAAATTTCATAGCTTGGAGAAAACTCTTCCTCTCTCAACTTCAGCTTCCTTGTCTTTATGACAGTTATCGAAGGATCTCTTCGTGTTCATTTCCTGAGGCTGTTGTAATGCGTTATCACAAACCGAGTGGCTTAAAACAACAGAAATGTGCTTTCTCAGCATTCTAGAGGACAGAAGTCCGCATCATGGTGTGGGCAGGGTTGTACTCACTCCCTGCGGAAGCTCTTTGCTCTCTGCCTCTTCCTCCTCTGTGGCAGCTGGCATTCCTTGGCTGGTGGTCACATCTCTTTCTGCTCTGCCTTCATATTGCCTTCTCTATGTGTCTCTTATGAGAACATTTGTTATTGGACCTAGGGCCTTCCAGAATAATCCAGATCGCTCTTTCATCTCAAGATTGTTAATTTAATTATACCTGCAGAATTACATCTTTTTCCAAATTTGTTCACATTCATAGGATTGGTAGATTAGGATATGACAGTATCTTTTTGGGGCCACCATTTAGCCCACTGTATTATCTAGAGGGCTGACATGGTATGTCATTGACATCAGTTGAGATTGTTCAGTGACCATGCCATAAATTTACTTAGAGTCATTCTACTTTGTAGAATTGTTGTGGATGATAGAATTATGTGAACCTACCCATACACTGGGGACAGGGTAACACTCATTAAACAGTAGCTTCTTTTTATTATCGTTTACTTTAGATATTGCTCATCATTTCTTTGCTCATATATCCATTCATTCACTATTCATTCATTTAATTAGTAATTTATTAAGTACTTGTCTGCCATTGGACAGTCACTAGCCAAACACTGAGGCTATAAAATATAAAACACTGTTTTTTGAAACACAAACTTGTTGTGAGGATAGATAACGAAATTTCTCTAGTCCAATGTGATAAGCACCTTTATAAAAGTATTTTTCAGGGATTAAAGGAATCATCAATGTACGTGGGAGATTGGAGAAGGCTTCACAGGGGAGGTGGCATTGGAGCTAGATCATAAAAGTTGATTAGAAGTTTATTAAACAAAAGGAAGTCATATATGAATCATCTGAGACACTCCATGTATTGAGATGTAAGGAATCATAGTGTTTTGGGGGAATTATGAGAAATTCAGGATGCTGGAGCCCAAGGTTCATGTACGGGAGCAGTAGAAATGACACAACCATAGGAAACAAAAGCCAAATATCATTTGCGATTCATAAAGGGAAAATATTATTAATCCTATTTTACTCAGGAAGAAAAATTAATTTGCCCAACATGACACACCTGGTGAGCAAGAAACTCATGCCCACTCTATTGCCTCCCCTCTTTCTGACAGCAGTGTATAAGTATCCCTCAGTGCTGTTCTTCCACACTGTGCAGATTACTCTGCATGTTTTTTATTCCCTCTAAATTGGGAGTCCCTTGATTTCAGGCACCCTTTCTTGTGCCTAGCATGGGCCCCTGGCCTGCCTCATGTGTGGCACTCAACAGCCATGGGTAAGTGAGTTTCACTGCAGCAGGAGTTCTGGCATCAAGTAGGAGAGCCAGATGGCATTCTTTCTGAAATCCTCTCTGACCTGAAGCTTCTAGATTGAGTTTGCTTACATGGGAAAGTGAGATTTTTGTTTCGGGTCACAGTATATAGATACCACCTGGGACCTATTGCTTCTTATTTCTCTGGGGGCAGGGGACTAGTTCCACCCCAAGCCTGCTCTCCGTCTGTCACATGCTTTTTTTTATTGGTTTACATGTATAGATCTATTTTTCTTTGCCGTCCACCTGAGTGCTGCTTTTTCAATAATTCATAGAAACTTTGCACAAAATTAATCTACAACGAGAACTCAAACTTGACTAAAGCCCAGCCTCTTGCTTGGGAATTCTTTGTTACTGACGGCATCCGCCTGAGCTCCTTTTAGTGTTTTGTAAGTTCTGAATTCTCCTTTAAGAAGAGCCAGATTGAGGAAATCATTAATCTCTGACAGTTGTGTAGATATAATTAAAGATATATGAATATAAAAATACCTGCTATCTCAAATTACTTCCTAAAAGAACAGGGAGGGGGAAAGAGAGTTCTATTTAAAATGTCAGATACAGACACATTAGGCTGGATAGTCAAAGCACTGTATGTCTGTCACTCATGAAAACTGACAATTAGGTCCATAAATAGATTTTACAGGCTTCCACACAAGAACGCACATCCTGCACATCTCTGGCGCATAAAAATGAGAAACATGGATGGCAGTGGCTGACTCACCAGAAGAGAGAAGATTTGAGAGATGGTGAATGAGATGCTTTTAGAAAATTCACTGTGCTTGGGGGTTGCTTGTGGGGTACAGGAGAGGAGGGAGCCCACTGGGGTACCAGGAGGGACTGGGTGTTCCATCCTGGGGCTGCTGCTCCCTACTCAGGGACTCTGGCCAGTCTCCTCATTTCCCTGGATCTGTTTTCTAATCTGCAAAATGAAATTTAGATAAATTCAAGGCAAAACCCCCACTATTTCTACTTCTAAGGGTAGTTTAAGGGGAGGTTTAAGTGAGGTTATAATAAAATTCTTTGGAAATAGGCGAACACTACAGATGTAAGCAGTTTTTTTCCTAAGATTACTATTGTTGTTGGTATTGACAGCTGAGATATTTATATATGCCCCATGAACAGACAGAGTAGGTGATCAGAAAGCATCTTAAGACCAAGACATCAGGGAATCAAAGAGAAATGCCACATAGTAAAATTGAACTTGCCTTGCTTTTTGCATAGGGAATTGAGCCAGGGTGAATGAGAGCCCGAGAGGGTGGGGGAGATCACGAGATCCACTCTCAATGTCTAAGCTCCATGTTCAGGGTCCTCATTCTTCAGGGGTTCAACCTTGTTTAAAGTACAGATGTTGCTGACCGTCAGTTTCCATTCCCACAAAATAAGGCTCATCATTCTACAGTTGCCTCCTCTGCAGGATTGACGTGAGATCAAATGAAATCAGGACTATGCAGGTGGAAATTGTACCAATGTGGAATTTGTCATTGAAAATACGACCATGATCAGATTAGAAACGGATCAGAATACCCATCCTCCGTTCTATCATTTATTCACCTGATTCAAGGAACATATGTTGAATTTACTTATTATGTTTCCCATTGAGTATCTGTCTTCCATGATAGATTGTAAGTTCTAACAAGTCAGGAAATTTCTTGTGTGTTTTGCTCATTGAGGTGTCTAAATGCCTAAAAGAATTCTCTGTATCTAGTAGGTAAACAATAAATATTTAGTGAATTAAGTCTATTATGTTTTAGATATTATGATGGGAGGTACAGATACAATGAGGTACAGAAAAGGAAAAGAGTTTGGGAAACTGGGTCAGGGAGATAGTAATAAATGGATTAATGCAAAAAGTCAAGAGTATAGCATGATATACAGAAGATACTCACACATAAGAGTTGGGGAGCATAAAAGAGGGTATCCTCCCATGCTAGGGGGTTTCCAGGAGCTCTCAGGGAGCCCACAGTCCTGATATTTACAATTTTCACCTTGTGGTGTAAGGTAGCATGTGAGTTTGGAGCGAGGTACTCCTGAACTTGAGGCCAGACTCTGCCCTCAAACAGCTATGACCTTGAGTAAGTCATCTAACCACTTTAAGTCCCAATTCTGTCTTCTGGAAAACGTTGTCAAGATTTAATGAAATAGCAAGTGTAATGAAAATTATTGGCACAAAAGCTGGCTCCCACTAAATGACATCCAGTCCAGCCTCTATTCCTTTGCTATTCTCTGCAGTCCCAAAGAATTGCACCTTTTTCAGGTACTTTGCTTTGAGAGAGAAATTTTCTCTTAGTGGCACATAGCACTCAGGAAGGATAGATAGCATCCTAATTGTTTACTGCTGTGGCTGCTACCACTGCAACTACTTCTCCTCATACTGTGTTTCCACAGCCACCATTGGTACTGTCATCAGCTGCTGTTAATAAGCACATACTAGGTCCAGGTATTTCATGAAACATTTTATATACATCATTTCAAAAAAATGACGTATATAAAAAATGTTGTATCTTCGGCCAGGCACAATGGCTCACAGCTGTAATCCCAGCACTTTGGGAGGCCAAAGCTGGTGGATCGCCTGAAGTCAGGAGTTCAAGACCAGCCTGGCCAGCATGGTGAAACCCCATCTCTACTAAAAATACAAGAAAAATCGCTGGGCGTGGTGGCAGGTATCCGTAATCCCAGCTACTCAGAAGCTGAGGCAGGAGAATCATTTGAACCCGGGAGGCAGAGGTGGCAGTGAGCTGAGATCACGCCATTGCACTCCAGCCTGGGCAACAGAATGAGACTCCATCCCAAAAAACAAAAAACAGAAAAAACCTTGTATTTTCTTATTCTGTAGATGATGAAACTTAAACCCAAGAGGCTTAACTAATTTGCCTCAGGTCACACGGCTTTTAAGAGACAGATACCAGTTGGCAACATTCATGTACATGAGCTCCTTGAGAGAAGATAGGCCCTTACACCACCACACCCTAAATGCCTGGCATATGTGTGGGGCTCATGGAATACTACCTGCCTGGCTGGCAACACCAGCCAGGTGCTGTGTTCTGAGATACCTGGGAGGTGAGTTTTCACTTAGTACTCTTAGGGCATGGGGCCTATATTTTCAGTATTGGACAGTGCTTCCAAAGGACCTTCTCTCTTAGAATCTGGCTGGGAGCAGGTCGGTATGCTCCTGCCTATTGCACTCAGCAGAAGAGGCTCTGGGATGCTTTTGATCACATTTCGCATTATGGGTTCCTTACCTTACAAAGGGGTCAGTCTGGATATAAATGAGTGTCTTATAAATGCAAATGAATTTCCTACAAAGAACTCTGGGTGGTAAGAGCAGAAAGCAGGTGTCAGTAGAATCACTGACTTTGGGGACTTGTCAGCTAATTGCAGTATAACACCCTATTTGGTGGCTGGGCTGCAGGTAAGGGCAAACTGTGGGTTTCAGTGCTCTGCCTTTATCCTGTGGGTGGCTCTAGGGGAAGCATCTGGGGGCAGGAGTACAGGCCTTGGGGCATGAAGTTTCAACTACAGTATTAACCATGGCACCCACTGTGGCTAAGAGCTCTCAAAGAGATGCAAAAATTGAATGTGATTTCAGTTCAGCAGGCCTGGTTCAAATGCGGCCTCTGCCACAGAAGACTGTGTGACCTTGGGACAGTCATTTAATCAGCTTCCTTAACGGCACAATGGGAATAACAATGCCCAATGACAAGAGTGGTTCTAAGTATTAATAGATTTAAGTTACCCAGCATGCAACTTTCCAACCCATGCCAGCTGCATCCTTTTCTTCCTTGCTTGCTTGACAGAATCGTTTCCCCTGTTGACCAGCTGGAAATACTTCACTGATCCCTGCCTCCCAAATCCTCTTCTCTCCTCCCTCCTCCAGTCAGTAACTTCTTGAAGACAGTTGCTGTGTGTCTTTTCTTTTCATTGGCCTGTTGCAGGTACTGGACAGATGAATGATAAATAATAAATAAATCAATGACTGTTGATGTCCTGGTCTTCCATACATAATAGCAATGACATTTTTATACCACACTTCAGCCTGGGAAAGTATTTTTAATGATCACTTAATATTATTTAACAGGCATAGCAATCGGTGAGACACATGGTATGATTATCATTTTACAGGTTGACATTGACTCAGATGGAAGTGACTTGTCCAAGGTCACTCTGCTGGCACGTGGCCTGTCTGATACTTTGTTCACTAGTCAACAGATGTGCTGAGTGGTTACTGTGTGCCAGGTACTGAGCTGAGTGATGCTTTTGTCATTTCCTCCCTTCTTGGTAGCACTCTATGGAGAAGTAAGTCTGGCTCATGCTGAGACCAACACATATTATCAATTCTAGCTGCTTGGGATACACCAAAATAGACATGGATCACTGACTTCATGGATCTTACATTGAGCCAGTGGGAGCAGAGAGCAGAGTTAAACAACACACTTGCTAAATAAGTAAATTATTAAGAACGGTAAAAGGTGAACCTTGTTATGGGGGCAAAGTGGAGTGGGGAGAGAAAGAAATTGCCCTGAGACCTCTGAAAGGCCTTTTAACTTCTAGCATCTCTCATTATAAAATAAACATTTCATTGTTGAATACATAGGGATACTGTATAAGTTTGTCTGATAAAATGTCAGATGCCAAGGAGATTGATTTTAAGTGAAGAGTGGTGAAGAAACACAATGACTGTGTTTCTTGCAGAGGTTGGGGTGGCAGGTGGGGTGGCTGAGGTGCCAGAGGGCCAGTGTGTAAGAACAAATCAGGAGGGTGGGAGTGGTCATCATAATGTAACTGCCTATTATTGCGTGCTTGCTACTCTCCAGGTACTGGTTTAAGCCCTTTGTATGTAGTGACTCATTTAATCTACACAGCTATTATTATTTAATGGGGGAACAAATGGAGGCACAGAGAGGTTAATAACTTGGCCAAGGTCACAGCAGAAGGTGGCAGAACTAGAGGGTGAACTCAGGCTGGTTGTCTCCAGAATGAGCCCTTTTAACCATGCTTCCATGCTGTAGGGTAGAAACCAACTCCTTCAGACTGAAAGTGCTGGCACAGGGAGGCCTGAGAACTGCCCAGGCCCTGCTTGCATGCAGTGATGGGGAAGGTATATGGTGAAGACCGAGAAAACCTAGAGTACTGGATGCTGCAAACCTGCTTTGTGGCCTTCGGTGGGTCCCCTGACTTCTCTGTGTCTCATAGGGGATTGACTTAGAGGATCCTATAAAGGCCCTTTTCTGTGCTATGCAGCCTCAGAATCTGTGGGTTTGTGTTATGTCATTGACTCTTAACAGGTAGTCTAGTTCTCAGGGGTTCGGGTACCAGGCTTTGAATTCATATTGCCTCAGGTTTGATCTGTGGCTCTACATTTCACTGCTGGGTGTAGGATTTGGATGAGTTTGGCAAATGAAGCCTTGTTTTATCACCTGTAATCAGATGTGCCAAGAGATCCCCTCCCACAGGTTTTTATGAAGATGCAATGAGATGATATGAGCAATGAGCTGACTTGGCTGCCTGGCACTCAGGAAGCACACAGTGAATGGGGGCTTTACTCACGTGTAGTATTAGGTGGATTCTTAGGTCGCTGACACTGAATTATGATCACCGTGAAAGAAGGTAGGGACTGTATCATGCTCTTCTCTCTGTGTCTAAGCACCATGCACAGCCCTGGTATATTGTAGGCCTTGGTGAGTGTTTGTGGGGTGAAGGTTTGCATTGCTAAATCTCTACACTAGCGTAGCAGGCTGGTAAGGCTTCTTGGCAGAGTTCTCTGTGTGCCTAGGATTTAATTCACTGATGTTTATATTGTAGGGTTCTTAAAGTTTTCTAAGGATGATTTCAGTTATGAATTAACAATCAGGAACAAACTATGAAATGTGTAAACTTGTGTCCTGTTTTTGAAAAAAATCTCTCTTCCTCAGAAAAATTGGCAAATAAGAAGAAATAGAGGTTGATGTTAAAGACAACAACAAACAATTATCTGAAAAGCTGTGAAGACCTTCTAATATAGCGTTCGATGTCTTCTAATTTTAATCATTCAGTACCCATGGCAGAGTTGCAGAAGCTCAGAAATAATTGGCAGCAATTGGCAGACGGAAGAGTTCCTCTTAAAACTGATGAATAACCTCTTTATTTTCTGTGGCATACTAGTTTTGCTATGACCCACATAAATTACAGATTTTTATCCATTCAACTGTGTGTCCTTTACTCTGTGTATTTTGCAGCCTCTCACATTGCTTTGCCTTGCCTCTGCTGACCAGGAACCAGCAGGGTCTCAAACCTTCTGGAACCTTCCCTGCCCTACATTTTTTTTTAAGTCTTCGCACATGTGGTTCACCCGGCCTTGGAATATTCTTTTCCTTCTCTCAAGACCAGCTCCTACTTGATGGTTAATACTTAGTCCAGCTACTTCTCATGCTGGAATCCTATGCTCTGGCTAGCCAGCAAGTCCTTACTATTCTTTTAGCCTCTTCTGCTTCCCTCATGGTAGGCCTCACCTTACTGTATCTCATTCACTTCTGCACTGGTCTCCCTGGTGTCTCAACTGTGAGTCTTCTGAGGACAAGGGCTGTGCCCATGTTCTCTGTCTCCCCAGCTGGACTTACTCCAGTTTCTTGGCTGAATGACCCAAAGACATCAGACAGGGGCCTGGATTCAAAAAGGGAAGGCCGAGTCCAAAGGATAGAATGTTGGTACAGGGAGTTGTGACTGTGGTTTCTGTTTCACAACAGCTAAGTGTATAATATTAACCAGATGCCAGTGATCTATGTAGTGTTTCTCTCCGAGGTGCTTAATCAAAACCATCTCATTAATCCTCACAAAAATCTTCTAAACAGGCATGAAAATAGAGAATTCATTTTTTGTTGCATGAGAAAATGAGACATCAAAGGTGCTGAACCTGCACATTCAGAGGTTGATACAATTATCTCCCTGGCTCCTGGGGATGTGGGTGCAGAGCTAACCCTCCTCACCAAGCCTGTGCCTCCCATTCTCTCCCTGACATCATGCTGACATATCACTCCCACCCCTACCCCCACCTCCCACCTTCCCACTCCCATCTATTTATGACTCGATGTGTCACATCCAGGTTCACAGATGATTTTAGAAGTGGAGAGCGAGCAAATCCTGTCGAACAATTTAACCAGATTCAAAAGGATTTGGATCATTTGCGTAATTGGGCTAGCAGATGGTAAATGTAGTTCAAAGTACAAAAATGTAGAATAATTACAAGTGGAGAAAGTAATGCAATTTATGGATGAGGAAAGCGATTTGGGAGAAAGCTCATCAAAATCATGATCTCGATGTGTTAGAAGAGAAGGACAAACAGCACAGCTCTGATGAGCAAAAGCAGAGTGGCCCTGGTGACTCTCCAGCTGATGGCAGTGCAGGGGAGAGGACACATCTGTCCTCTGGAAATGAGAAGGGAAATGGTTGGGGTGGAAACGATCCCGGGGTGGAAACGATCCCAGGGAGGATGATGATTGATCAGGCAGAAAAGTGGTCACACTCACTTGAAAGTCAGGAATACTGGGTTCACATCTCAGCTGCCTCCTTCTTACTGTGTGACTTTTGGTGAGAATCTCTTTTCTCTGAGCCTTAGTTTCCTCTGCTGTAATATGGACCTACTAATGCCCACTTCCCTGCTGCTTTGAAGAATTTATGAGATCATGAATGTGAGAAATACAACTTGTTATGGAAATCTAGAAAATTCACTTTGATGAGTATTAATTTTTTACCTGCAATGCTAAAAATCCAGTGCTTTCTATTATGAAAATTGGAAATGGATTATTTACTAGTGTCACAGGTTGAAAAAGTCACCTTTCAAACATTCCCATTCTATTCCCGAGAATTTTGGCATGTTACCTTACATGGGACATTGCAGGGGTGATTAAACTAAGGTTCTTAAGGTAGGGAGATTACCCAGGTAGGCCCTAAATAAATACAATCACAAGTATTCTTTTAAAAGGATGACTGAGAGAGATTTGACATAGAGGATGAATGTAATGTGATCACAAGGCAGAGAGTGAAATGTTGTGGCCATTAGCCAAGGAATGCCTGCAGCCACCAGAGCCTAGAAGAGGCAAGGGGTACATTCTCTCCCAGAGTCCCCTGTTGGAGCATGATCCTTATGATAATTTAACTTTAGTCCAGGGAAACTGATTTCAGACTCCTGGCTCCAACACCTTGAGAAAATAAATTTCGGTTGTTTCAGGCCACCAAGTTTGGGGTAATTCATTGTAACCACATAGGAGACAAATACAAATAGAAAGAGAAAATGACCTGTCAATAAAATACATAGATTAAGTCTAAGTTCTGATACTTTCATTTCTGTGGAACCCTAAGCCACCTCTCTTGGCCTCTGTTTCTTCATCTTTAAAGAGGGATAATATACATTTCCTATATGGGTTATTGGGAGGATGTAAAAGATATAATACATGTAAATTATTCACTATAGAAACATACAAAGAAAATACTAGGCATTAAGTTTTTAATCAGGTTGCAGTTAGCACAGCAGAATTCCAGAGGCCCTAACAGAGCACACTTTTGGAGATTGGACATGGCAGTCAGCACTGTGGAAGCAGCTGGTAGTGTTGGAGACATCTAGGCAGTTTGCAGGAGACAGGACCATGGCCACCAAGTAAGGGACTCATGTCCAGCTCTTTTCCTAGAGCCAGTCTGAGTGCTGGGAAAGGTAATTCAACAAAGCCCAAGAGTGGAGACCACGGCCAAGAGGGGTTTATTATTTCAGTTTAGGGAAACAAGGTTTTGGCAAGGATGTCATTCTGAGGATTCTTGATCCCAGGTCTGTCAGTGAATGAAACTCATATAAGACCACTGAGCCCACATCACAGCTTTCTAAAAACAACTTAAATGCCAACCCCTAAAATTCTGAAACCTGGCAGGGCATGGTGGCTTACGCCTATAATCCCAGCACTTTGGAAGGCTTAGGCGGGCAGATCACCTGAGGTCAGGAGTTCAAGACCAGCCTGGCCACCAGGGAGAAACCTCGTCTCTACTATAAATACAAAAAATTAGCTGGATGTGGTGGTGCACGTCTGTAATCCCAGCTACTTGGGAGGCTGAGGTATGAGAATCCCTTGAACCTGGGAGGCGGAGGTTGTGGTGAGCTGAGATGGCGCCATTGCACTCTAGCCTAAGCAACAAGAGTGAAACTCTGTCTCAAAAAAAAAGAAAAAAAAAAAAAAAAAAAAAAGAAAAGAAAAGAAACTGAAACCTATGGTATAAATCCTGCTTCAGTCAGACTAGGCCTAGGGACTGGGATGGCTCCAGTCTAGGAACAGTGGCTGCTAGACTGCCAGGGCTTACTGGGGGCTGCTTTGGCAAACAGAGGCCAGCTAGTCCAGGAAGTCTGAGCTGGACCCCAGAGTCCACGGTGTTTCTGGAGAAAGCCAAGGCTTGTCCTATGTCAGGAAGAAACTGCCTAGCTGAGCAGCAAATACAAATCTTGATAAATAAGAAAATTGAGAATACAGAACTGGCACTATTATTCAAGGATTTGAGTCTGAAGAACAAGGCAAGATAGTAAAAGGAAACAAGGCATAAGATCAGAATCCAAAAAGATCTGTGGTATTTAGAATGTTGAGTGTTACATGTCTAAGAGTGAGCAGTTCCAGGCTGAGGCTGTGGATAAAGTTGGGGCTTGACTGACCCTTTGTGTATCTGAGTGTGGTACTGGCTGTGGTGCAGGGAAGCCTCTGATGGGTAAATGTGGATGATGAAGACCAGAGAGGTGGAGCAACTTGCTTAAGGACATGACATGTTTGAGTCAGAGCTGGACCCCATACCTTTGTCCTTTGCCAGATCTTTAAACTGATCAACTATGACCTTTTTATGAATCTCAGAGACCCCTTGCTGTGGGATTTAGAGAAATTATTTTCCAGATCCTGTCTCTATTCTAATTAGCATCCACAATTTAACAACTTTTGTGCTCTCTGATTGCACTTTGAGTTTTTGAGCATCATTTAAGGAAAGAATGTGCAGGGTGAAAGAGGATTTGGGAACAAAAAGTAATTAAACATAATAAGCCTTTTGAGATTAGCCATTAATTTGGATGTGAAATGTAAAATTGCCTTTAAAGTAATAAGGGATGATATCAAGCAATTGTAATATCCAGCATGGGAAGTAACATGCTGATAACAATGCACAGGGCAATGTAACACACTTTGGTTCCTTGATTTTTATGGAATTAATGATGTTGGTTTCATTTCACTGCTGATTTAAGATACACATTTAATAAATGGTACATTAAGGCAAATACACCAAAATTGCACCTAAAGAGCTGAATAGTCAGGAAATGGCAGCCCTTCGCATGCAGTAATTTTAGGATATCTCAAGTTTAATGCTTCATCAGTAGATATTTACACCTGTTTATTTTAATGCTTTCAGATGGCAGTTCAACAGAATTATCAGAAATATTATAAGAGGGCCTTGTCAGTATTCTGGGATAATATTCTAATTTAGTCTGTAGACTCTGAAAGAAGCTAGAATATTCTTAAAGAAAAGTCGTGGTTTTTGGTTTGTTTATTTTTTGAACCTGAGTCTCTCCGTGTTGCCCAGGCTGGAGTGCGATGGTGTGATCTCAGCTCTCTGCAGCCACAACCTCCTGGGCTCAGGTGATCCTTCCACTTCAGCTTCCCAAATAGCTGGGACTACAGGCACACATCACCACACCCAGCTATTTTTTTTGTAATTTTAGTACAGGGTTTCACCATGGTGCCCAGGCTGATCTCGAACTCCTGGGCTCAAGCGATCTGCCTGCCTTAGCTTCCCATAACGTTGGCATTACAGTCAGGAGCCACCTCACCCAGCCTGTTTTGTTTTTTAACAATACAGAAGAGTTGGATATTAGTTGTCATGCTAGAGGAGGTGCATTGTTTTGGATTCATAGAAGATAAAGTATATGATAAAATGAGTTAAGATAATTTCATACACAGGTTTGGCTCAAGTTTTATAAACTTGAGAAATGATTGTTATAGAGCCTGCCTCTAACATATTTATTGGTTTCTTGGAGAAGCAGTGTGGTTGACCAGCTTTACCTGACACTGTTTTCAGAGGAAAAGCCACTAATTTGTTTCTTTTTTCATTCTGGTATTTCATTTATCCTTTCATGAGATGTTTATTGAGCACATAATATTTGTCACGCATTGTTTTATATGTTGGGGATTTAACACTAAAAAGAAAAAAAATAGTAGTCTTTTACCTTCTACATTATGGACATAAAGAATGTTGCATGCTATTTTTTTTTAATGTTTAAGGACTTGACAAGATACTTATGATCTAGGTGAAAAAGTGAAATGGAGGTCTGCATTTTCAAGTGTGTGTGTGTGTGTGTGTGTGTGTGTGTGTGTGTGTGTACGTGTTTGGAGATGAGTTGAAACATTTATTGAAAGGAAATATTCTAAATAGTAAATATATATATCTCTATATCTTTGATTTTTTTAGAGTAAGCATACATTTGTCTTTATCCTCATATTTATATTTTTCAAATTTTCCACAATAAATATTCATTGCTTAGCAAGAAAAGAAATAACCCAGACAGCTGCTGGTTATATAGCCAACCAACATGGTGAGTGGAGTGTTTTAGGAGGTTAGTCATGGTACATAGGCAACTCTGTGTAAAACAGTGATTTATTCGAATTCTTAGTTTATCTTCCTGAATGTGCTTTTGTTTTAAAGCTAAGAAGTTCACCCTCTTATTTGGTGTATATTTACCTCTAGCAAGAGCAATGATTTCTGATGTGATTAAGTGATTTCACACCAGTGAAGGATTATTAAAAAATAGCTGCTTTTGGTAATTGATTATTTTGTGCGTGTTACCCTAATGATGCTGTCTGAAGGATGAAATATCTTTTCTGCATTTTCCAAAGCAGCCTTCAGTAACCCTGGTGACAATGGATTTTCCTCACTGCCCTTAATTACTGAATGCAGAAGCTCCTGCTTCTGAGCCTGGTGGCTTCACCCACAGTGAGAGAAGCCCAGCTGATGAACCAGCACAGGAGAGCGTACCGAGGTAGTCATGGAATTTGGAAACCATTAGGAAGCTGGGCAATTTCATTATTCATTCACTTGAAATAATCCTGGGACTGCTTTCAGTGACATGGTTCCTTCAGCAAATAAAGATAAGCCAAATCCCTGGGCACTCAAAGAAGGGGAAGATTCTTTAAATTAATTCCAGGCTCAAATAATTCAGCAGTATTTGTAATATTCTGTGCATAAATTGGCAATTTGCTAGAGAGATCAGGAAATGATAAAGGCTTTCTTTCCCCTCCCCCTACTCATCTTAACAACTGCTGAGGCAGCTATTGGGATAAAAGAAATGTTTTATCCTTAATAAATGTCCTATCAGGTAATGCACTGATTAAGGAAGTCCAAACATGGCACCCTTCCCCCTTCAATGCAATTATTTTTCATCACAGAGACTAAAATATATGGGGAGTAGAGGATGGTTGTAATATGGTTTTTGACACAAGAAAGTTTTATATGAAAAATAGATCCACTAACCATATCAAGAAATACAGAAATAAGAGTGCTAACTTGCAGGACTTTCTATTTTTCATTTCAAGGGTGTTTTAGTTGTTTCATTTTGTGGTAGTTTTAAAAGATTGCTTGTCTTTTACTGATGATACCGTATCCTGGTGATCACCAAATCCAAACTTCATTACCTCTGGACTCTCTTTCCTCCTTCCTACCCGTCTGTCATCATGTGATTTGGGCCCTTGCTGGGGAATCTTTTGGAGGGTTGGTTCATCATGCCCCTCTCCTTTGCATTTTGAGCCAACTACAAATCAGACACAGGAGCCAAAGGGAGATAAAAGTGTCTATTTTTACCTGGCAAAGCTGGGATGGAGCACCTGACTTAGGTCCCTCCCAGGTCTATACCTGGAGTCCTACTTGAGTTAAAATGAGGTGTGTAGAACTAACAGTCACTCAGCCAGTAATGGGGATGAGGACAGAGTGCTACCCTTGTAGCCTCCCATGGCCACCGCTCTTAATGCACATCCAAGGGCAGAGCTTACCCTGGTTGGTCTGACCCAAATGTGCCCCATGCCCTCATGCAGATCTCAAAGCAGAAGAGCTCCACTCCTCCTAGCTGTTCCCAGCCTCAAGGATCAGATGACTCACTCCTCATATGGGACACTGCAGTAGGGTGGGATGAAAGAGCTGACGCTAACTTCCTAATAATTAAAAGAGGGCAAGGGTGTCTCCATTGTATGGACTGCTGGTCTCTTTCTCCCATCAGAATGATTTAGCCCATTCATTTGTCTGGGCTATATCTGTCTGAAATGTAAAACTGGTCCTGCCACTTTCTTACTTTGTAATCTTTCAGGTTAGCATGATTTTTAAGCCCCTTGATCTGCCTGCCGTCTGCCTCATTTGTTTCATAATTGTACTCCAGCCATACCCAGCTTTTGACAAGCCATAAAGGGGGCTTGTTCTCTCTCAGCTCTGAATCTTTGCCGGTAATACATGCCCTCATACTCTTGGGTTGGGTGCCCTTCTCAGTGACCAAATCATCTATACTTATTTGTATTACTGATCACAGCATATTTTCGTTGTTGGTGTATTTCTCTGTTTCCCCAACTAGAACAAGAGACTTCATGTTAACTGTTTGTTGGATACATAAGCAAACATTTTTTTAAGAGAACAATAAACCTTACATTTAATCTATCTTAAAGGAAATCACCAAACTGTTTTGTTTGATTTTCATGGAAATAAACTCAGTGTAGTTACAGTCTCCTTGAAATAGTCCTGAGGTTTATTGTTATTATCAATGGAATCAAATAGAGTAAGAGCCCTCACCTGATCTAGGCTCCTTCAGGGTAAGCTATGAGTTTCTAATGCAGGACTTAGATTGCAGGGACTGGGTTTACCTTGGCTGAAATTTCATCCACCTGCTACAGAATCAAATAGGAGAATATAGGCTGTGAGCCAGATTTGTGCTGATAATTAGTCAGTGATGGATGAAACTTTTTTAAGCATAAGGGAAGGGCAAATAAATGTATCTTTGCATTGGATATAAATGGCATTTCCTCATTCTTAAATCACTCTTTTAAGTTATAGAAAAAATCTTCTTTGAAGTCTTTGATTCACTAATATTGGGGTAACAATGGCTGTGACTTATCCTTAAGGATTTAAAGGAAAAGCAAGATAGCTTGAGGTGTGTTTCACTTTCATCTTGCCCCGTGACTTATGCATCAATTCACAGGCCTGTGGCCTGGGAGGTCTCCATGGAGCCTGTGTTCTGGGGGCTACTGACATAGGCCATTCCCTATTGGTGCCTCAGCACACCATGTGCCCATTCCAAATCCTCTGATCTCATAGAAAGTTCACAGTTTTCTGTTTCCAAAATTATTGTCTCCAAACAAAGAATGAAAACTCCTCCCAGCAGGTCTTGTTTGGTGAAAAAGGGTTTCAGAGACCGGCAAGGAAAAAAAAAATTCTTTCTATTTTCAATAACCAAGTTAAAAGGGAAGATTTTTTTTTCCTTTGATTTTTGTGGAAACTGAGCTGATAAAAGTCCTGAAATGAGAAAATCAAGGGGGCAGCAGTTATAAGACCTTGTCCAGTGATGTCTCTTTTTGTCTCTTCAAGAGTGTGTTTAAACTTCTTACTGGCTGTTTCAGTGTGCTCGAGGTGATTGGCTGTATAAAACACTAAACCTTAAAATACTTATTTTACAAAATTATTCCGTTCTGGCAGCCTAGACAATTTCACAAGGTTGATCTCTAAAGGAGATTTATCTGCCTATTAGATGAGACTGTGTACATCCTCCCCAAAAAAATCTTATTTCAGTAAGTTCTAAAGATACTCATGATTAACGGTAATATCAAGGCAACATAATGACTGGGTTTTCAGAAAAGGCCCTGTAAGTTGGCAGCCCCAAAGCCATTCTTCTTGCAGCAAGACCTTTTACTTAGAAAAAAAAGATTTCACATTTACACAGACACTTAACCATTTAAACTGGCATATTCAGGGGATGATCATTCACTTTCGTAAGATCTGCTAGCATTTCCTGGAATGACATTTGGACAGGTACACACCTCAAAGTATTAAAACTATATATCATTTGCAATAATATATGGTTTCTCTATAAATTCAATGATACTACATTTTGTTCTTTCAGCCAATTAGTGCTGTACTTTCTTGCATACACCTCTGTGTCCCCCCACACCACCACACATATATCCTTTGAATTCTGAAGTAGTAAGAAGAACATGAGCTTTGATTCCAGAAAGACCTAAGTTCAAATCCTGGCCGTGAAAAATGCCATCTGGATGACGTTAGTCAAGTTGTAACTCCATGGTCTCAGATTTCTCATCTAAAGAGGAGTAAAAGTAGCCCCCCTAAAAAGATGACATGAAAATATGAATATGAAGGATTTAGTAATTTAGGTAAAATATTAAATAATTATATTTGCTAAAATAATAAATTAGTGAACAGCTGTTGCCTGGTGAACAAATCTTAGGTGTGGGCCCAATAGTCTATAATAATAGGCAAGTATAAATTATGAAAAGCTATGGATTCTTACTTCAGGATAGGGAAATGAAAAATTTTGGAAAGATTTGCTGGAGTGAATTTATTTTAAATACAGTTTATTGGAAAGCAGTTTCCTGTGCTAGGCAATAGGAATGCCTCTAAAGAAACTAAGCCTGCCCTTAAAAATTTTTAAATGTGATAGAGGGAGGAAGGTAACTATTATAGCTTTTAGTACGTTTGCTGGTCTCCCCATAGACTATGACCTCCTCACATAGGTATTCCAGTATTTCACTTTTACATATTTTATTCTTCAACAATTATAACCTAAGTACATAGAAAGATATTGAAACATTAGTGACATAAATAATTATACACTAAACATAGACAGATTGGTGTACAACATTCTGCCAACTGAGGTGAGGAATTAACATTTGTGTCTTCTTGCAAAATTCCCACAAACCACATGGTCCATGGCAATGAATCTGATTAATCTGGGCAAGGGCACTGATCTGGTTTCAGCTCTGCTGCTAACTAGTTCTGTGGTCTTGGGCAAGCACTTTTATTTTGGGGGGATTTGATTTCCTCCTCTGAAGTTGAATTCAGTGTAGCAAAAGTTTGCTGAATAATTTCTGTGCCAGTCCTGAATTCAGACTTTGGGATTTAAAGGTAAATAAGACACAGGGCTTGCCTTCTGAAACTACCTCTTAAGAGGGAAGATAAGCATATATGTCCCTAATTATAACAATAAAAATGCAAAAATAAAATGAACGTAAGGAACACAGAGTAGGATATGTTTTAATGTGAAAACAGTAGATTATCAGAGCAGCATAACAGAAGAGGAAATATCTGAGCAGAAGTCTGCATGGAGTAATAGTTTTCACATGTACAAAGCTGAATCAGTGGGATTAGGTAGTAGAAAGAGCTGTAGTGCATTCTAGGGTGAGGAATAGCATGTGCAAACGCAAAATAAGTCTTGGTGTGCTTTCATCAAAGTGTAAGTAGGATCATAAGGTTGACTCCGGGTGTGGTGGCTTATGCCTATAACGTTAGCACTTTAGAAGGCTGAGGTGGGTGGCTGGCTTGAGCTCAGGAGTTTGAGACCAGCCTAGGAAACATGACAAAACCCCATCTCTACAAAAAATAAAAAATTAGCTGAGGTGGTGGCATGCACCTGGAATTCCACATACTTGCGAGACTAAGGCAGAAAGACTGGTTGAGCCTGGAAGACTGAGGCTAGAGTGAGTGTGTTTACATCACTCCATTCCAGCCTGGGAGACAGAGTGAGACCTTGTCTCAAAACTAACAACAAAACAAACAAAAATGATCGATCACTTTATGAGGCCAGGGGCCTTATTCACTGTTAAATGTCCAGCCTCTAGAATAAGACCTGGACATAATACTTAATAAACAAATGAAGGGTGGAGTAAATAAATTGACATAATGCAAAATGTGAATGTTTTTCTCTGTACACACAAGGTCCACATCAAAATTCAGTTACTGTGCTACTTTGACTATTTGTTTTATTGCCTTGGCTGGATCATAAGCTCCTCACTGGCAAAAAAGAAAACAAAAAAGAAAAAAGCACTTGAAAAGCCTTCAGTAGACACTTGACAATTGAATAATTGACTCAAGCCTGAAGCACTGTGTGAAACCTTTATAGATGGTCTGATTTGGCACTGCCCATGTCTAGGGATCATAAACTTAATATACCTATCTTGTTTGAGGGGCAGGAAAAAGCAGGTGGCTTAATTCTGTTAATTATCCTGGGACCTATGATAGTGAATAATTCTGCAACTGCAAGGGACTCAACTGGGTCTCATGAGAAGGAGGAAAATGCTAGGGAAAAAGTCATTGGAGATTAAATAATGTCTCATATACTGTAATGAGGGCCTGAGCAAATGCAGATACCTGTGGTTAAAGAAAATCACAGTTTCTATACAGCTAGCACAATTGTGGGCATAAGAGACATTCCTGCTTCATTATTCTGAGGAATAGCATTATCAGAGAATTGCAAAGATTTGAGCTTCGAAATCAATATGTGCTTAGAATTACATGGCAGGAAAGCCAGGAACTGTAATACTCTGAACACTGTTTTTATAGTCAATTTTCAAAAAGTTCATGACTTCAAATTCAAGGACACGTTTTCAACACTGGCACTTGTTAGTCAATACAGTCTTATGTTTGTTCACTTTTTAAAAATTCGTTTAGAAGCATACTATATATTTAATGAATATATACTATTGGCTAAGCACTGTTCGAATTCTGTGGTGGATCTATTGCCATAGATTCCACCCTAAAGGAGTGTGCAGTTATGCTAGAGTAATTGTAGCCACTCTCATAAAAATGTACAGTTGACCCCCCATGTCTACAGGTTTCTCATCTACAGGTTCTACACTCTCAGGTTCAACCAACCATGGATTGAAAGTATATTTTTAAAAAACATGAAAACAAAACAGCAATACAATAATACAGATTTTAAAAACAATAAAATAGAATCGCTATTGACATATAATTTACATTGTGTTAGTTATAAGTAATCTAGAGATGATTTAAAGTATATGGGAGGATGTGCATAGGTTAGATGCAAATACTGTACCATTTTATATCAGGGACTTGAGCATCCTCTTGTTTTTGTACCCACAGGGGTGCTGGAGTTAATCACCCTTGGATACCAAGTAATGCCTGTATAATCATTCAGGCAAAATTGAAGTTAATTTATTGCTCATGTGATAGGACTGAGTAGGTGAACCAGTTGGAGGGTGTCTGTTTTGCAGGCAGTCATTCAGGAACAAAGGCCAAAGGAGGCTCTGCCATCTTCTACAAGTAGCTTCCAAGGTGTTCCTGGGGCTGGTCTGCCTTCTAGCCAACTAGCAAGGAGAATGGGCATAGAAGAACACCCACATAAGTGATCTTTATAGGCCAAGCCTAAAAATGACACTCATTGCTTATACTTATACTATGTGGGCTAGAACCAGTCACAAGGCTTTCCTAACAACAAGGAAGCCTTGGAAATGTAATGTAGTTGTGTACTACAGAGGAAGCACCATGACCATAGGGGTTTTAGAAACATCCTGCAATCTCTGCCATAGCAATCTACTACATCAAATAAGTGAAGTTCAAAATTCATGAAAATACAAAAGATAGAAGCTTGTATTCTGTTCTCACACTGCTATAAAGAACTACCTGAGACTGAGTGATGTATGAAGAAAAAGACATAATCTACATTTCATAGGTGTACTTGAATGTGATGGAGGGTATGAATCCAAGCTGGAAAAAACTCTTCAGGATATTATCCAGGAGAACTTCCCCAACCTAGCAAGGCAGCCCAATAGTCAAGTCCAGGAAATACAGAGAACACCGCAAAGATATTCCTCATGAAGAGCAACCCCAAGGCACATAATCATCAGATTCACCAGGGTTGAAATGAAGGAAAAAATGCTGAGAGCAGCCAGAGAGAAAGGTTGGGTTACCCACAAAGGGAAGCCCATCAGACTCACAGCAGATCTCAGCAGAAACCCTACAAGCCAGACAAGAGTGGGGGCCAATATTCAACATCCTTAAAAAAAAGAACTTTTAACCTAGGAATTCATATCCCGCCAAACTAAGCTTCATAAGTGAAGGAGAAATAAAATCCTTTATGAACAAGCAATTGCTCAGAGATTTCACGACCAGGCCTGCTTTATAAGAAGAGCTCCTGAAAGAAGCACTAAACGTAGAAAGGAACAACCAGTACCAGCCGCTCCAAAAACGTACCAAATGGTAAAGAGCATTGACATAATGAAGAAATTATGTCAATTAATGGGCAAAACAATCAGCTAGCATCAAAATGGCAGGATCATATTCACACATAACAATATTAACCTTAAATGTAAATGGGCTAAATGCCTTAATCAAAAGACACTGACTGGCAAATTGGATAAAAAGTCAAAACCCATCAGTGTGCTATATTCAGGAAACTCATCTCACATACAAGGATACACAAAGGCTCAAAATAAAGGGATGGAGGAAGATTTACCAAACAAATGGAGAGCAATAAAAAGCAGGAATTGCAATTCTCATCTCTGATAAAGTAGACTTTAAACCAACAAAGATCAAAAGAGACAAGGGCATTACATAATGGTAAAAGGACCCATGCAACAAGAAGAGCTAAGAATCCTAAATTTATATGCACTCAATACAGGAGCACCCTGATACATAAAGCAAGTTCTTAATGACCTACAAAGAGACTTAGACTCCCACACAATAATAGTGGGAGACTTTAACACCCCATTGTCAATATTAGACAGATTAACGAGACAGAAAATTAACAGGATATCCAGGACTTGGACTCAGACCTGGACCAAGCAAGCCTAATAGACATTTACAGGACTCTCCACCCCAAATCCACAGAATATACATTTCTTGTCAGCACCACATCACATCTACTCTAAAATTGACCACATAATTGGAAGTAAATCCCTCCTCAGCACAAAAAAGTAAAGAAATTTAAAAAAGAAAAACTTGAAAAACAAGGAAATGGGGATAAAGAAGGAAATGTACAATGAATAGTACTCACGCTTTCTAAAGTAAAATGTAGAAGTTTTCTCTCAATTTATTGCTACAACAATCCCATGATTTAAAGATGAAGACACATTTACTGGTCTCAGGTTCATCAGAGAGCTGGAATTAGAATTTGGGTATTTCAAATGTTCTTTCACTAAATTTTAAAATTATATCGAAATCTATCTAAATGAAAAGGACAAGCCATTTGTATTTTGCTTGCGTATCGTCTCTACTGCTCAAATTTCTGCATTCCTGAAACCCAAAGTAGGACTTAAGTAAGACAGACACTTTGAAGAATGATCATAAAATAGCTTCTTCTGGCAACCAAAAGAAAACATGAATAATGTGTATTTTTTTTGGTGGTTCACATGCTAATTCAAGTTTTTCTTTCATTATCAACAATCTTCTTCAGTTACTAGCCTTTTTTAGATTCCCAACCACATTTATTTTGACCCACTCTCCTGCTTCCTCCTATTCCTCCTGTTGTTCCTCCTCTTAAACTTTTCTCTTTTAAATCTGCCCCCCATACAGGTTTTCACACTTATCTTTAATGGCCATACTCACTGCCCTCTGTGTAAGAACATTTATACCAGTGTTTTTTTGAAATAATGTAATGCTTTTATCAAATAAAAATGTAGATTATTAATGTTTTATACAAACTGAAGAACAGACAGAACTGGGGAGTTGAGTACCTGTGCCCATCTCATGGTGCATGAATAAAACCTCCTTAAAAAAACAGCATGCAGGATCCTTATTTCTTTATACCGTAAGCTTAATTATAACAATATGTTAATGGCAAATGAAAATGAATACTGATAAAGTAATAATAAAGCATAAAAAAAACAAAAAAAAATTTACCTGACTCACAGATCCACAGGCTTAACAGGAAGCCTGACTGGGAGGAGTCAGGAAACCTACAATCATGGCAGAAGGAGAAGGGGAAGCAAGCACATCTTGCTATGATGGAGCAGGAGGCAGAAATAGTGAAGGGGAAGGCACCACACTCTTTTAAATGATCAGATCTTCTGAAGAACTCACTCACTATCTTGAAAACAGCAAGGGGGAAATCTGCCCCCATGATCTGATCAGCTTCCACCAGACCCCTCCCCTGACATATGAGGATTACAATTTGACATGAGATTTCAGTGGGGACACAGAGCCAGACTGTATCATTCTGACCCTGGCTCCTCTGAAATCTCATGTCCTTCTCATGTTTCAAAACCAATCATGCCTTTCCAACAGTCCCCCAAAGTCTTAACTCCAACATTAACTCAAAAGTCTAAGTCCAAAGTCTCATTTTGAGACAAGGCAAGTCCTTCCATCTATGAGCCTGTAAAAATCAAAAACAAGTTAGTTACTTCCAAGATACAATGGGTAAAGGCATTGGGTAAATGTTCCCATTCCAAAAGGAAAAAATTGGCCATAAACATGTGCTAAAGGCCCCATACAAGTCCAAAACCCAGTAGGACAGTCATTAAATCTTAAGGCTTCAAGTTAATTTCCTTTGACTTCATGTTTCACATCTATGGCAGGCTGATTCAAGGGGTGGGCTCCCATGGCTTTTGGCAGCTCTATCCCAGGGCTCTGCAGAGTATAGTCCCCAAGGTTGCTTTCATGGGCTGACATTGACTGCCTGTGGCTTTTCCAGGTACCCAGTGCAAGCTGTCATTGGATCTACCATTCTGGGGTTTGGAGGACAGTGTCTCTTTTCTCACACCTCCACTAGGCATTGTCTCAGTGAGGGCTCTGGGGGGGCCTCCAACCCCTATTCCCCTCTGCACTAGGTTCCTCATGAGGGCTCCATCCCTGCAGCAGACTTCTACCTGGACATCCAGAGATTTCTATACATCAACTGAAATCTGTATGGAGTCTCTCACACTGTTGCCTTCTGTGCACCTGCAGGCCCAACACCACATGGAACCTGGCAAGGCTTGCGGCTTGCACCCTCTGAAGCAATAGCCCAAGATGTACCTTGGTACCTTTTAGCCATGGCTGGAGCTGGAGCAGCTGGGACATAGGGTGCCATGTCCCGAGGCTGCACAGAGCAGGGGGCAGTGGGTTGGGGGGTGGGTCTTGCCCATGAAACCATTTTTCCCTCCCAGGCCCCCAGGCCTGTGATGGAAGAGGCTGATGTGAAGATCTCTGAAATGCCCTGGAGACATTTTCCCCATTGTCATGGCTGTTAACATTTGGCACCTTATTACTCATGCAAATTTCTGCAGCTCATTTGAATTTCTCCCCAGAAAATGAGTTTTTATTTTCTACCACCTGATCAGGCTGCAAATTTACCAAGTTTTTCTGCTCTTCTTCCCTTTTAAATATAAGTTCCTATTTCAAATCATCTCTTTCTTCATTCATGTGCATGTACATTTTTAGAAACATCTGGGTAACCTCTTGAATGCTTTGTTGCTTAGAAATTTCTTCTACCGGATACCCTAAATTGTCTCTCTCAAGTTCGAAGCTCCACAGATTTCTAGGGTGGGGGCAAAATGCCACCAGTCTCCTTGCCAAAGCACAGCAAGAGTAACCTTTACTCCATTTCCCAATAAGTTCCTCATCATCACCTGAGACCACCTCAGCCTGGACTTCATTTCCATATCACTGTCAGTATTTTGTTCAAAACCATTCAACAGAAGTCTCTGGGAAGTTCCAAACTTTCCCACATTTTCCTGTCTTCTGAGTCCCCCAAACTGTTCCAACCTCTACCCCTTACCCAGATCCAAAGTCACTTTCACCTTTTCAGGTTATCAGTTCCTACCAGTCCCCTCTCCTGACATGTGGGGATCACAATTTGACATGAGATTTGGGTAAGGACACAGAACTAAGCCATATCAGAGTGCTGTGTTAGTTTGTTGACAGCTATATGTTAAGCCCCTTGCTTTATGAGTCTACATAAATTATAACATTTTTTCCTCCAGATACTTTTATGAGTTATTTCTTATGACTCTTGTTTTACAAAAGAAGAAATGGAGACTCAGAGTGTTTCAGACCACTTTTTATGATGTTTATTTGAAGCCACTTGTAGAAATTTAAGGGAGGATTTGATGAAGTTCCTGTTTACCTACTTTGCAGAGTAACTAATACTGTTTACATTGGTCAGGAGTAACAGTGCAACAAATACTATCCTGCATGTCTCAAGACATAGTTTTCTACCTCTAATCTTCAGCTGGAGATCATCAGTCCTTGTTCTAGTCTGTTCCTTTGGTTATACATGGTTCTCCAATAGAGTTTTTTTTTTTTTTTGGTGATACTTAACTCTAAGGCATGGAATAAAGATTCATTACTCAATCATTTATTTTCTCATCTATCCATCTCTTCTTTATCAATCTGTTTGTTTACTCCTTTGTTCATTCATTCTTTCAGTAAATATTTCTGAATATTTACTCTACCCATTAAATGTGCCTAACACTGTATTGGGTGTTTGGAGTATAAAGACAGGAAAGTATGGTGCTTTGCCTTTGGCAAGCTCACTGTTTAGTCAGAGAATTGAACATAGTAAAAGATAATGGAGATAGTATAGGTTTTTTAAAAGGGCATGGGACAGAAAATGCAATTGGAATAAAAAATAAGAGAGGCAAATCTGCCAGAGTAGTTAAGAGAGGATGCACAAATAGAGAATAGATAGGTTTTGGGAAATAAAGTTTTCCTAGGTTACAGAAACAACAGACAGAACATTCCTGTTAGAGGAATTAACACAGATAAAGGAAAGGAGAAATGTGAAGGTTAATTATGTTCAAGAATAATTTTTAAAAGAATGATCTAGTGGAAGATACCTTGGAGGAATAGCAAGCGAAACGGATGAATTGGTTCTAAATATTTACAAAAGGTACACCGTTGAGGTTGATGTCCTTTTAATTTGCCTTCATGATAGCTAGGGCTCCTGTGTGGTTGCTGGGGTTGGCCTATAGCATTGGCGCAGAGGAAGTGGCCACCAATGCTGCTTATGTCTCATGGTGTAGGCAGTGCCAGGATTCATCTGTCCCCAATGAACTTCTCTGGAAACCCAAGTGACAAAATGAAAGATTAAAGAGTAAACCTCCAGTGTGTTGAAACCTTCGTGGTCTAGCAGGCAAGCATGATGTATAGAATGGGAGTCCTAGAGGTCAGAAGTGGGATGGATGCAAGAACAGAGAAGGTGAACAAGAGGTGGGGGCAGAGTCTGGGTGTGACTTTGAGCATGATTGACTCTCCCCTCCTCATTCCTAGTGTGTTTGCATGTACACACACACATACATACATACACACACACACACACACACACACACACACACACACATGCAGCTTTTGGAAGCTATCTGGTTAGTTTAGTCAGGAGAAGATAAATGAAACACAGAGTTGGGGGGCAGAGGCTAAAAGTATTGGGAAAAGCCACAGTCCCATAGGTCCATGCATGTGGGTGTATGGGAGAGATGCACTATTAACCACTAATCTTCTATGGATTTTTTTCATGTACATCTCAGCTGTTTTTTTTCCATTCACAGTGATTTCAGGGACCACTCATAATTATACCAAGTGAGGCAGCCCTTAAGAATGATTAAAATAAAAATAGTACTAATAAACATGTAAGTATTGATCTGTCATGGCTGATCAATCATATCTTTTCCATTTAGCTAGGTAGATAATTAGTGCTGTTAACAGGCATTGTGGCTCCCACATAAGCTAGAGTCAATCAGTCAGGGGAACCTCAGAGTATCCACTTTAGGGCCCTCTGGTTCTGGTAACCCATTTCAGGTCAATTCAACAAGTATTTGTTGAGTATCTACTAAGAACACAAATTGTGCTGCCACAATAACAATGATCAAAGGATACTGATCTAAAATTGCCCTCCTTGAAATTTTTCCAGTCGGTTTATTGTGTTTAGAATTGTGGCTCTGGGGAATGACAAATGGAAACTGTCTACGAACAGTTCTGTGTAAATGTGATTTGAAATGCTTAGACAAGAGTTTTGGCTCTTTTATAATGAAAAGCAGGCTTAAACGTTGCTTTAAAAATGGTCAGCAGATTATAATCTTTAGTATTTGCTAGTAAATATGTAGGATTCCTAATAGGAAATGACTTCAAAAAATGTTCCCAGAGTTGAGAAAATTCTGTAAGGTAGAGAAAAATCTACACATCGTAAAGTTATTATCAAGGGATTATATACAGACCAAGGAGTTGTGTTTATATTGCTGGTTTTGTTGTGTGTCTGTTCATTTTTCTGCTTCTACCTTGTCAGGTGAAAATAAAGAAATCAGAAAGACCCATATATTCTAATCTACCACATGTTCTGATCACCTCCTTGAGAAATGCAGGCACCCCATGTGTATTTACCTACTCCCCCATCACCTTTCCCCTGTGGAAAAGTAGCTTTGTCTCTTTTTCTCTTTGCCTAAGGAAAGACCTTTATGACCCCTTAGCCCAAAGTTAAAAGATTAAAGGCAGAAGAAAAGCACCTGAAAATGCTTTTGTCACTAAGATGCTCTGAATCTCCAAAAGGAAAAAAACTGTAAAGATATTTTTAACTCTTAGGAAAAGTTCAGGGTAAGTTGAAGTTTTTTCTAGGACCTTGGAGATGGCTTGTAAAATGTGCTGTGTACTCCAACCTTTAACAATTTCAGCCATAAACTTATACCGATTTACTTGTGATCCCATTTCATATATAATATATATAAAAAGTCTAGTTTTTAGTTTAAAACCCTATGGTTGTCATTACTCAAGAAAACTCTTCTATGAGATGTTCTAAGTCTTTAATGTAAGATTGAGAAATATAAGAATGGGGGAAATGACTTGACTGTGATTGAAGTCACTAACAAGTAGTATTCACAAGAGCTATTGGAAGCCTGGGCTTTCCTTTAGCTTAGCTGGCATTGGAATGCAAGGGTGTTGATATGTGGAGGGGGCCTAGCAGCAGACAATATAAACAATGAGTGTTTGAATCCCAGCAGGTTAAAAGAATTAACCCCAAGGCTTCCCTTAGATGGAAGATCTTAGCCAAGAGCTCAGAATAAGAGAGGTGAAGTTCTTACTCTAAGGACAGGATCTGGCAAAGGCTAGACTCAGAAGGGCTGGACTCCATCCATTGGGTGGCATTCCCATTCCAGATGAGGAACAATGTACAACTGCAAACCATGGTGGCAGCGTACAGTGATATATGCTGGCCAAATGCACTGAAGAGCGCCAACTCAATTATTATCCAGATGTACAGACTCCACTGTAAGCCCAACAGATTGAGTCTATAGCATTGTGATCAATTCTAGGCCCTATTTGCTAATGAGGCTGAGGTTCTGTCCTGGCTGATAGGCTTTAGATTTGATAGAATGGAACCAGGGTGTTTCATACCAAGTCATAATGTCTCAATTAGAAAGACACTGATAAGGAAGGGACAAACTGACAAAGGTCATACCAGCTCATAGCACTGCATTTCTCAGTTTTATCTCTGTTCTTCTCCTTTCCTCAATTACACTGTATATTTGTATATTCCCCCTTTTGGCTGTTGTGCAGCAGAGATTAGAACTGTGTTGACTGATAGGTGACAGGAGTAAAAAGCTAAGCTCAATAATTAAATACATATTTATTAATTAGCATCAAATCAGTGTCTAATACCTTACTAAGTACTGGAGATGCTATGATTAATAATAAGACAATCTCTGCCTGATTTCTGCATCCCATCCCTAGCTTTCATTCTTGGCATATCCACCCTGCTGGTAGATGCATATATGGTACAGATACATGCAAATGTAACTATTGTCCGTTAGTTCATATAAGCAGATATGCATAGCTAGAAAAATTCCCACCAGGAGATGCAAGAAGGGGAGAGGTCTACATTTATCTTAAATAAGGCCGTTCCCAGAACAAGGGTAAATCACAGAGGGAAGGTTAATATAATTAACCAAGCATTGATAGTAAGAGTGCTTCTTGTGGTTTAATCACATCAGTTGAATCTGCAATAGTAAGCTCAGTTTAATGACTAAAATTTTAATTTTCATGGTAGCATCATATTCACCCTTCATTTCTCAAGCCCAACCTCCTCAGCTCATTCTAGCCCTTGTTCATCATTCTTGTCTTTTATTCATTAAACCATGGCCATAGGGGCAGTGTTATATAATGTAAGCAATATTGGGCATACAATCAGAAGACCTGAGTTTGAGTTTGCGTGTCTCTAATTATTTGTGACTTTGGTCAAGTTAATATTTTCTGAGCCTTAGTTATCCTCGTGTGTAGTGGGGATAATAATGTTGGCATTTTTTGGTATATCTAGTCGTATGATAGAAATTGTTGAATACTTCAGCTGTTTTTTCCAAATACCTAGCACAGTGTATGACTAATGTAGATGATCAGTGTAGTTGTGTAAGAAAGCCATTATTTAATGTGTTTGTTTTATTCTATTCCAGTTTGCCTTTTTAAAGTGTATTATTGTTTGTTTTCTTAAGTTTACATGTGTGTTTTAAGTGTTTCCCTAATCCAATTCTCAGGTTCCTTAGGGAAGTGCCTTTTCCTTATGTTTATTTTGTCCTCTTCCTTTTCTCCTGCCCCAGGTCTTATCTTGGTACTGGAGGATTCAGGAAATGCTCAGTAAATAGTAATATATTGTTCCATAATTATTTTCTATTACCAATTAATAAATATGTGTCATCAGTATGAATAACGACATTACTTCTAAGCCTAGTGTGGTTAGAGGATTGCATTGCGCCCTAGATAAATAAAATTTTAAAATGAATCACAGTTTAATTCA